GGGTGTCGGTGGGGACTTGGTGAAGGGGGAAGCCTAGTAAACATAATGTTCTTCGTGTAATTGTAGATTAAAGAAAACAAAATAAATAAATAAAAGGCGCTTGACAGTTGCTCAACGATTGCTTGTCTCCCATCTCAGCAGCCCCACAAGGGAAGGACTATTGCTCCTCCCCAAGTCAGGAGGAAGGTGAGGCCTAGAGGGCACACCGTGTGCTCAGGCTCAAGCAAGTCACAACTATCCCAGCTCCTACCCTAAAAAGCAAACCCCAATACTTGGGGTCTCCTTGTCATAGCTCTGGACTGCAACTCTGTCAGCGGCTTCTCCTCAGAGCCACTGGGACCCTCACACTGTACCCGCACACAGGGCCCACTGCTCCCACAGCAGCCGGAGCTCGCACCTCGTGGGTCCTGAAGAAGGGAGAGTTCTCCAGAGCTTCACGAAGTTCTTCTAGGCGTGCCACGTACTTTCTCTGTGTGAGAGGGAGGGTTTCTTGGTTAGCATAGGGATCTTGTGGGTCCTTACCCACCTGGAGCTCTGTCCTCGTCCCATATCCCAGAGGATCAGGCAGACCCCGGCCAGGGTGCGATTAGGGAGCCGGGGGGAAATGGGGGGGCTGGGGGGCGGGTGGATGATCCAGGTGGCACAGACAAGACTGTGTTGGGAGATTATACCCTCATTTCTTAGCAGCTCCTCCCAACAAGATAGTCTGTTTCTTTTTAATCTAGGCTTGGTCTTAGGACTTGCTTTGGCCAATAGGACATGGCAAAAGTGGTAGCTACTCTGAGCCAAGCCATCAAGAGGGCTTGAGTTTCCACTTGTTTTCTGGGCCACCTGATTCCACCATGAGAACAAGCCCAGGCCAGCCTGCCGGATCATGGGAGACAAGTGGGCAAGTCGTGAGCTGAGACAGCGAGCCGATCACCAGACACGTGAAGGGGGCCCTCCTGCACCAGCCAGTCCAAGCCAAGCCACCAGCTGACTAAAGATGGTTCAGCCAGTATCAGCCAACCTTGGCCCAAAGTAAAAGACCACTGACTTGGGAATTACAGCAATAGTGGTCTTGGCTGATAAATTTGGGGCATGTGTGTCCAGCTCACCAGGATTCCATGGTTCCCATCCACAAAGTCCTCCAGTGCCTTTGTCACCTGCTCCAGCTCCTGTGTCTTCTTGAAGTTGGTGTTGCAGGTCCCATCGGCTTTCTGCAAGGCAAGGGGTGAAGATGCAGTGTTGCGCCTTTTCCTTCTCACGTCCAACACCAAGCCAGCCTCAGGCAACTCCCAGCCTCCACATATACACTTGCTGTTCAGGGGAAGCCTGACCACCTGCCCAGCCCAGCTCAACGCAGCCAAAGTCACATTTCCAAACAACCAGTCCTTCTGAGTCTAACTTTGAACCCCCTGGTTGAGCCGGCCTAGTCAGTGGGCTTTGGATGGGGGTGGACCTGGCTTTGAACCATGATGGTACTTAGCTGAGTGGCCCTAAGCAAGTCACTTCACCTGCTGCAGGGTGTTTCCTCATCTAGAAGATGGGAACTGTGTTGGTATCTACTGCTTAAATCTGGTATAAGGATTAGAGGAGACTGGGTGTAAGGCATAT